AAGTTGAAAAATTTCAATTTTGTTATGAATCTTTGAAAAATTGTAACTCACTCGACATAAGTCGAGAATTGGAAACCTTTATACCGTTGGAAACCTCTCAGAAAGTACTACAAGTTCCTAGAAGACACTTTTCCATGAATCGAAGTGAAAAGTGCTCAAAAATGAGCTTGAAGGTACTGACTCGGTTCACAAGGCAGAATTAAGTTGGATTTTGGCCAACTTTGAAAATTCGGCACGATTCACACGTTGCGAATCGGCCCCTGAAATTTGTAACTCAATTAGAGTTGCAAGTGAGGTTTATAGCAGAGCAAGCAGATCAAGAATCGGAGTTTCGAGTACCGAAATACGCTAGCTTGAAGTTGGAGAAAATTCAAGACTGGAGAAGAATTTTCAGATTTGAACTTCCAATAGTAGAAGTTTTGTTAGGTATCGAAACGAACTTGAATTGGTACCAAAATTGGCAGTATTTTACTCTTATATGAAGGGTATCTCTCTATCAAATTTCGTGGAAAAATACCTTCGGAAAGGTGGTTAACCAGCCAACCACAGTTTGGAAAAATTCTTAAGGCAATCTGCCTTTAATCCTTTTCTTCCCAAATCCAATCGTTTGGCTAAGAAAATCCTCCAATCATGGTTTATATTTGAAAGGAAAGTGTAAGGATCATTTATGGTACATTTGGTAGGTGTTTAACACCAAGAATTTCATTTAGTAAGACCACAACAAGTCTCATCTCAAATCTGTCCAAAACTAGGTTTTTCCAAAACAGAGCAGTGTTCTTGTTTTGATCACAATTTAGTCGACCTAACTCGAAATTGAGCATGGTTTACGGAGTTGGAAAATACATTCATAGGGCTAAAAATGCACAGAAAGAAACGTTTTGAAATTTGGCAAACAACCAGCTCGAAATTGAGCCTCAAGTTGCTGCCTCTACAAATCATTCCAGCAGGACAGAGAAACAGGACAGCTATCTTAAAACGAATGGTCCGGCTCCTACACATGGAATCAGACTACGTATTTTATACTGTTGGAAAGGTATGGATGTCTAGTTTTAAATGCCACTGACGGAACTCAATTTCAACATCGGAGGACAAAGTTATGGTCAAAATGCTACCGCTGGACAGGGTTATCCGAAAACAGTTTTCCAGCTTGACTAGTTCACAAATAAATTCATTTGCCCATCCAAGCGTTAATGTTTTCCAATGAAAATTTTTACACATCTAATACAACATATAAACATCAGGTCCAAGCCATTAGATCATAAAAAATTGGCCTTATCATGACCGAACAAAGCAGGGGCAGTTTCAGAAATTTTTGTCATGACCTCCACTTTGAGTTTCCAACAATAATACTCCATAAATCTGTCATTTTAACCACTAAACTACCATTAAATCCAACATTAAACCTCTTATCAACCCAAGAGTGGGAATTCATAGAGCCCACTTTTCAAATTCTAACAATATCAAGTCATCCATATACATGCAATTGCTTAGAGATGCACTTCTACTACCATAAACCAAGCTTAAGGTGTTGGATGATGTCATACCTCCTTAGTGCTTTAGATCAGAAATTTTCGGTCCTCAAAAGGCTCCAAGAAACCGTGAAATGCAGCCCTTTAGTTAGCTAGGTCCAACCTCCAAGTAGTTTGCTAGTTGGTCTACAAATTTGGTGAAGATTGGTTGGAGTTTTGTGGTTGATTTGGTGAAGAAATTTTTGAAACAATGGAGTTAGAGAGGGAGAAGGCTGGCCGGCTGTAGGAGAGAGAAGAAAGAGTGAAATTTGATCAAGGTTAGCTTCCAAGAGAAGATTAAAATGAGTGGTGTAAATTCACTCCAAGGTCAACTCTCATTAGGGTTCGTTTGATGCGTTTAGGGCTCGATTTTCTCTCGCGTTTGGTTCACTAGTGCACTAAACCTCTAATGCACTTATGTCCATATAAATATTATTCGCTCTTAATTGTCCCGAAATAAGGGTTTAAAGTCTCTCAAATAAAGTCGCGCGTGTGAAAACGCATACCGTCAATTTTAACGCTATAACGCGGAACCTCCGAGAAATTCTTGTAACGATAATACTATTAACTATCACTTAAGTATTTAAATCTAAAATTACTTATTTTAAAACCGTTGTACATGTCTCAAATTTTTCCGGGCTAATTGTACTCTTTATTGGCAAAAATTTTCCAAACGCGTTTTCACCTTTTCACTAAACAAGCTCCTAAGAAATAATAATTTTTTTTTGAAACGAGACACTTTAAAAATATAACGAAACTATAAAATCATGTACTTAAGTCTAATGAGGTTAGAAAATAATAATCGGGGCAAATATTTGAATAAATAATTAAATGAGCAAAAATTAGGGGTCGAAAAATAATAATAATTTTACGAGTCCTCACATTATATATTTATCTCAAGAAGTAGCTGCGAGTCAGGAAACAAACCCGAGGCTCGAGAGTAAATTATTTAGATAATTGGTGAGTGTTTTCCGAATTTATGTGTTTAACTGTTTATGTGTATCTAAGTGAAATTATGTGACAAATACTACAATAAATTTGGCCTTTTGTGACAACATTCTCTGCAATAAGAGAGAAAGTTGTCACAATTGAAAACTTTAGTGACGACTTTTAATGTCGTCATACTTGATCGTGGGTTCACCCATCAACAGTGACAACATGGGATAAGTCGTCACAATATGGATGGCGCGCAACTATCCAGTGTGGCGGGAGATCACCATTGTGACGATTGGAAAACATGTTGTCACTGAAACTTGTCCTATAATGACAACTTAAAATATCGTCACAATATGGTTGTCAGTTCTAAATTAGTGACAACAACTAGTCGTCACTGTCCAAAGCATTTATTCCCATCTCACTTTCACTAATTCTACTATGTCACCGTAATATTTTCAATATGGCCCATATGTTGTAAATAAGTTTTATTAATTCTACTATGACACCCTAACTTTTACGTTTTGACCCCGTATACCACCTTAATTTTTTCAATATGACCCATGTGTTGTAAATAAATTTTATTAATTTTGCTATGACACCATAACTTTTACATTTTAACCCCATATACCACCTTAATTTTTTCAATATGGCCCATGTGTTGTAAATAAATTTTATTAATTCTACTATGACACCCTAACTTTTACATTTTGACCCCATATACCACCTTAATTTTTTCAATATGGACCATGTGTTGTAAATAAATTTTATTAATTCTATTATGACACCCTAACTTTTACATTTTAATCCCATATACCACCCTAATTTTTTCTATATGGCCCATACACTACAAGTAAATTTAATTAATTATGTTATGACACCCGAACTTTTACACTTTAGCCCCGTATTTGGTAAACTAATCTCATTAACCCTACCATGACACCTTATCTTTTGCAATTTAGCCTCATATGTGATAAAGAAACGTTTTATTAATTCTATTATGGCACCCTATGCTTTTACACTTTAGGTTGTGTTTATCATTAGCAAAATGAGGAATGTATTGTAAAAAACAATGTTTACCTATTTTTTAATTATTCCAAACATAGCTAATACATTGTTATAAAGTTAAAAAATATCATGAATTCTTTATTTAGTTCTCTTGACAACATATGGAAAATTATTGATTAACATAGTGTGAAAATAATGGAAGAGAATAATAAAATTTAATATGAAATTAAGTAAAAATATTGACAATTCCATGACTGGAGTTTGTTATGTATTACAATTTACAATAACCAAATTGTTTATGGTTTATGAATCAGTACATGTATCAAATAGATTTAGTGTTTCATGCATGTATTAGTAAACTATTTTGGTTATTTGATCAACTAAACAAATTGTTTGGTCTTGTCAGACCACAATTCGTGCATAATTGATAAAATTATTAAATTGATACAAAAAATATTTGCATTAAAATACCTTTTTTTGAATCATAAACATATTTTTAAAGTACTTGTTCTTAACTCACTTTCATTATTTCTACTATGCCACCCTAATTTTTTCAATGTGGCTTATACGTGATAAATAAATTTTATTAATCTTATTATGACACCCTAAATTTTACATTTTAGCCCCATATGTAATAAACCGATTCCATTAACTCAATCATGACACCTTATCTTTTACAATTTAGTCTCGTATGTGATAAAGCGATTTCATTAATTCTATTATGGCACCCTATCCTTTACACTTTAGTTGATGTTTTTCATTAGCAAAATGAGAAAGATATTTAATAAAATATATATACATATTTTTATAATTGTTCCAAACTTAGCTAATAACTTGTACCGAACTTAGCTAAGGTCAAAAAAATATCATGGATTCCCTATCTAATTGTCTTGACAACACATGAAAAATTATTGACTAGCATAGTGTGAAAATAATGGCAAAGAACAATAAAATTCAACATGAAATTAAGTAAAATCTTGACAATCGCATGGCTGGAGTTTATTATTAATTACAATAGTCACATTATTTATGGTTTATAAATCGGTACTTGTACCAAATACATGTAGTGTTTTATGCATGTATTAGCAAACTATTTTGGTTAATTGATCAACTAAATAGCTTGTTAGGTCTTGTCAGACCACAATTTCGTACATAATTAATAAAATTATTAAATTAATACCAAAAATATTTCCATTAAAAGATTTTTTTGAATCATAAACATATTATTAATAAGACACTAAATATTCCAAAAACACTAATTTTCAAAAACACTAAATTTTCCAAAAATTATCCAACAACACTAAATTTTCAATGTTTTAATGTAACAAATAAAGTTTCAGATACAACTTGTGAAGTAAAAAAGTTCAAAATAATAACTTTATTGTTGCGATTTTTTTTCAAACAATAATTTGATCAATTAGCCGTACAAAAGAGGATGAATGTGTTATTTTTTGGTCTTAGCTAAAATGGAAGCGGGAAGCTGAAAATTGAAGAAGTACATGTGGCTGAACAAAAGAAACAGAAACGACATCGTTTTTTGTCTTTTCTCATATTTTCCCTCCACTCTGCCTGCCTTCTTCACTCACAGACTCCCAATCCCCTCACTCTCTCACTATTTCTTCTCTCTCTAGGGTCTCTCTCTATGGCGTCGACCACTGGGGTTTTCGGAAACCGCTGCAGAGCACTCATGGCAGCCGCTAAGAGCTCCGTCGCCTCCACCACTTCTGGATCCGCCGCTGCCAAAACTTCTGGCCGCAGAAATGGCATCCTGAAAAAGCAGCCTGTCTCCCCTACTCTCCGCCAGTTCGTCGGCGCACCTTGCAAAGTAAGGATATCATAAATGTTTTGGCTGATTTTATTCGTATTTTTCTGAGCACTTGCTCAACCATCGTGATTTCTACTAAAAGATCACGCACTGACTACGAATACCATATTTTCTCATGGTGTCAATTTCTCACTTTCCCAAAGTACAACAATTCATTTCACGGATATATGTTTGGCACTTTAGGACGGGTCAGGGTCGGGCCTTCATTCCAACCCCACCCCTTGGCCTATTTGGCATCGGAATCGCAGCCGTTATAACTCACTCACGCGTCCGCTCCCCATTGAGAATCTCAGAGCCAGAGACCAGGGCAGAGACTCCATTCAATAAGAAAAAATTGGTAAGTACGAACAATTCAATAAGTCTCATTTAGGTTCAATTAAATTTAAACCCCCATAAAAATAAATTATTTTTACCCATAAATAATGCACCATTATTCAATAACCTCCCGTGATTAAAAATTAATGTAGTACTACTAATCTAATGCCTTCCTTGTTAGATTAGGTCTCTGTTGTCATTGGACCACTTCATAAACCCATACCCACTCCACCGAGAAAAAGAAAAACAAATGCCATAACAATTTTTAATAAATATAGAGAGAGAAAATAGATTGTTACAAAGGGCAAAAGAAAAAAAAAGGTTTTTATCGTGACAAAAAAAAAAGGATAATCAGGAGATTGCAAAGTAAGGATTTTTATTCTTGTCATAAGGCAAAGATATAATTTGCTTGTTCTTGGCATCTTAGATTCTCTATGAATTCCTTGCATTTGTATATTGAAGCGCTAATCTATAAATATTGAGTAGTTGATTTCTAGATATCAGATGTGATTTTTGAATTCTTCAATCTGATTATGAGAATAATCGGATAAGTTTTCTAGTATTATGCTTTCTCTTGTGTACTTAGATTATAATTTGCCCTGGTGAGTTGCTTGTAGTCATGTTAATGCAATTGTAGGAATGGTATTTTTGGCATGGACTAATGAATGTTCTGCTTTCTTTGGGTTACTTACTTGAATGTATTAACTATTAAGAGGGGAACAGAAAGAAGATTCTAACTTTTTATCTCAAACTTAGGATTAGTTATACAATACTTAAGAATGGATATCCGATGGAACCTTGCTTTCTTCAAACTTGTGGACAAGAAGGTTGCCTATTTCATTTCCTGACATCTTCCTCTTCCCTTTGTAGTGACTCCAATTTTTTGTGCATGAACTATAATGAGGGCATGGAAATACTGCCCTGTTCCCTTTTTTTTCTTGTTTGTTGTGAACAACAAGTGTTTTGATGAAATTTTGTTGCTAGGTTGCCAGCTTGTGTCCGTTCATTTTTTTGGCTAGCTTTTGCCTACTACTGCCCTGCTATTAATCCTTTTTGTCCTGTTTGTAACTAATCTTTGAGAAAGCAAGAAGAGAAAAACTGTAAATGGAAGTGAGTTAGCAAGCAAACAAGAGGATGGACATCATACTTTTATTTTCAAATCAAGTAGATGTAATCAAGTAGAGTGGTTAAGGACATTGCTGCAAGAACATTGAGGGTATATTGCAATTCGTTGCAAATTCAATTATGTGCTACATGTGAAGATCACATAATTTAATGGCCATTTGTGCTCAAGTTGTAGTTATGCTTGACTATTTTCATTTTAACAAGTCATTGCATTCAAAAACACAATAAAATCATCAAGTGACGTGGTAACTGAGGGGAAAAATTTTTTTGGTACCTTGATGTGAAGCAATGAGTAACTTTTTAAGTGTGCTCAATATTTGTACTATTACAGAGTGGAGTAGATTGCTAAAGTACCGGGGTAATTCTTTGTATGTTTCATATTCTGCAGAATTTGGAGTGAAACAGTCTACCATTACTTGGCCTTCTAATAAATTCTTGCTCTAGCTTCTTCTGGTGCAAGTTTTATACGTCACAGAGATTAGTAAAGCATTTTCAATGTATTGAGTTTCCTAGCTTGTATCTTCTCCATCTCAATCTTGTGAATTGGATTTTCAGATGGATGTCACACAACGACTTGAAAAAGCTAGCCCTTTTCGGTTGCCCTTCTCTTGGCAAGAAGATTGTCTTTTCCTCTAAAGATTGCGTAGATTCTTGAAAATTCAAGAGAACACTGTGAGTCGATTCCCTATCTTTTGCTATTCGTTTTGTAAATCATTTAAATTTTGTAAATGGTTGGTTTAGAACTGAAGCTAGAAAAATGTTAGTTTAGTTGTTCTCTTGTGCAGCTATTAAATTAGAAGGGATGTTTTTGATTGAAAGCATTTTCAAAACTACATAAGATATATCTGTTTTCCACATGATATATCACCTGGGACTTCAAAGGGTCGTGGGCTATGCAATTTGGAGGTTAAATGTTAAATGTTACTAAACTTTGCACCTTTGAGTTTTGAACATGGCAGCATTGGCTAGTTAAATTCTTGATGAGATGCCGCATCCTTTTCAACTACATTTTGAGATGGAGAAAATTTATAACATTCCTGCAAAACTTTTTAGAACGAATTTGTTGTATGTAGTTGTGTTCATAACTGTGAAAAATAAATTATTGGTGTGGCTTTATTTGAATTGTTCAAAGTGATCATGTAATTGTCTTTTTCACTGCTACTGTCTTAAATTATCTCAATCATCCCACTTTTATCTATTTCAACAAATGAAATTACCTGGCACAAAGTCCCAATTTGAGTTTCCATGTAATTGTCATGTTGGATATGAATTTGAAGAGTGTATTAGTGATTTTTTTCTGGCCAATATGCAAAAGAGGAATGGCAAAAGTTGTGCTTTTCGAACCTGTTCTCAGAATAAACTTGAATATGTTGATTATGCTGTTAAAAGTGCTAACCTGTTTGTAGCATATGTTGATTATTCATTCAAATTCAATGGTGTATGGTTGTAATAGCATATTTTCTGATTAAAGTATACTCTAATGCATTTAATAGTTTATTTTCAATGCAGTCCAGCTTCATATTGATCATGAGAAGACTATTGGATATGCTGATAGAGATGATTGAAATCTGACATTGGTGCTGTAATCTATGCTTTAGTTTAGAAATCTAGTACTCTCTCTTGGGAAGTATATGTATTGGTTATTATTATTTGAACTGATTATGTGGGATTTGGGCCCCAACATTTGTGATTCACTTTTATTTTGATTAATTTAAAGATGTGTTATGATCATATATATGAATTTGCGGCATATCTTTTATGTTGATTTTATTTTTTGTCAAATTGAATGTTTTACTATAATTGTTGAAAATACCATGGCAATACTATATTTGTAATGGTCAATGTCAACTCTTGAAGACAAAACTCAGTGACAACTTTCAAAGGAAGGTTGTCACTAGCATGCAAGTTCACCAAGCCTTTTTGTCAAATTGAGTTTTGCTATAATTGTCGCAAATGCCGTGACAATGATGAACAATTGCAGCTTGCTAAGATAAAGTTCAGTGACAACCTTTATGCAAGTTCACTAAGTGACGATTATTTCTGTCACCGAATACTAAGACTGATAGTGACAAGTTCAAGTCGTCACTGTGGACTTCAAATTTGTGACGACTTTTGCTCCATTTATGACAAAATATATGTGAAATAGTGACAAGAAAATTGTCCTCGTCATTAAATAACAAGATTTAGTGACGACTTTGTCCTCGTCATTAAATAACAAGATTTAGTGACGACTTTCAAAGGGTTGTCACACGTATCCATTTGTGACATAGAATTAGTGACAACGATGTGACAATGGAAAAAGTCATCACTATACTCATATAATGACGACTTTTTGATTTTTAGTGATGACTTTTTGTTGTCACAAAAGGCCAAATTTCTTGTAGTGAAATGTGCTTATCTTGAATTATTGCTAAATGATTTCTTGTGAAGTGTATTTCAATTGTCCCTCGCCTTCTAAGTCGAGAGTGTACTTTATCGCACTCGGCTTAGTTAAGCTTGAAGGTCGATAATTGACTGAATGTTACTGTAAGTGTGTATGAATGTAAGCCGTATGTGTGCCTCGCCGCATCGGCTGAACGAGGCCCCAAAGCCCTCTATTCAACGGACTATTCGAGCTAGCAAAGGGTTTGGTCGGGTATGATAGTAGCTTTGGGTAAATGTTTTGGTATACTCGAGTATTACCATGAGGTTGGGAGATTATTGAATTGATTACTAAATGTAGGGGATTGTTTATTGTTTTGGAGGACATAAGGAGGTGAAGTGGCGGAATGTGCAATGATATTGAAATGAATATACAATGACAGTGAAATGAGTGTCTCTTGATACTGAAATGAATGCTCAATGATATTGAAATGGCTCTAATGCGAGTACCGTATCCTTTTAAAAGTGATTGTTTAGTGAAGTGTTTCCTCAATTGCTTAATGAAAATGATTGTACAGTGAAATGTGCACTACTTGCTTAATTGTACTAATTTAAATATTTATTAAATGTTACTTGCTCGGCAAACCTTACTGAACTTTAACTCAAACCTTTTAGCTTTGTTTTCCTTACAGGAGATTGGTGGTCAGGGATCGATCGAGAGATGTAGGTAGATAGCAAGAAAACTTTTTGTGATTGTACATTTTTTAGTATCTTATTAAGGTTGAAATTTTGTGTTGAACTTGGTATTGTAAAAGATTTGAGCGTTTGGATTTAGTTTATCAAATGTTATCTCTGAAATTAATGTAAGTGAGTAAGTCCTGGCGAGAATTAGGCAGGCGATCTGCTAACTTTTAGGGTATGCCCTAGAAGAAAGTGGGATCGTCACAAAACCCAATCAAATTCCCCCAAATCCCCCCAAAACTCCATAAAATCCAAGCCAAAACACCAAAAAGCCCAAGCCAAAACCACAACAAAGTTTGGAAAAGAAAGAAAAGAAAAGGGGTCCATCGGCCCATTTCCCTTTCTTTTCAAAAAAAAATTTCCAGCTTCATGAACGAAGCCAACAAGTACGTGAAACCAGAAAAGGCCAGCTAGTTTTCTTTGGCTCTTCAGATTCGTTTTTTGCTTCCCATTTTCTTTCCCCCCAAGTTTAGCAAGTACTAGTACACATCATCACCAGAAAACAGTTGGCTTTTTTTGGTTCCACATAGTTGCTAGCTTCGTTCATGAAGTTGGAAATTTTTTTTTGAGTCTCATCTTTCGCATCTTCGTGACCTCTTCAAGGGATCATTTGTGGATTTCACAATTAATGTGATTTGTACCAATTAAATTTTGAAGAGACATTTCATTCCTCTTGACACCCTCTAGGTCTAGGTTTGCATCCATATAGAAGCATCCAAATTCGATAAGTTTTATAAGTTAGATTAGAAAAATTTTGACTAAATCTTGCAACTAGTTTTGGTTAGGTTGAAAAAGTGTTTTAGATCAATCTTTGCCTTCTTTTTCTTCAACCATGACTGCTAAATTCATTTTCTCTCATTTTCAAAGATTTGGAGTCGTTTAAAAGGGTTTTATTTGTTTTTATTTTTTAAAAAATATTTTTTGAGTGACTTGATATACTTAAATTCGATACCAAGTGAAAACTCTATTTTTTTAAAAAAATCCTTTTAGACTATTATTTTGGACCCAAACCGTCGCATTTTCTATGTCCTATTTTAGGCCATTTTTCTTTATCAAATACTCATTTTAAATACCCTTCTCTTTTATTTTCAAAAATAGGGAGCGACAGTCATTAACTTAACTACTTCACCTCATTTTTTAAGTAGGTTTTATTAATGAATAATCCACCATTTTAGATTGTGGTAGATCCACAAAAGATGGTTTGATAATAAAAAGCCATATAATCAAATAATATGAGAGATGGAAGAGGTTTACCTATTTCAAGTGTTTCATAGATATTACCTTATAGGAACACCACTTGACAATTGTCCAAAGGAACGTCCGCATATCCGTCTTGGGTAATGACATCCTTACAACTTACTTCTTCAAAATACTCCTCAAGAGGAGTTAATTGTGAATCATTCATGCTCATCTCTTGAGGTTCAACATTATAGTTCCAAAGACACAATTATGTAAAATGGATATTTCCTCATTAGAGCACAAATTGATCAAAATGCAATCCACTTTCGCATACAACATTCTCACTATTCACAATAGTTTCGATTTGCATATAATTAGAAGAAATAATTTCACACAAATCACACAATTGATTTTGAATTCTACCTATGTGAGAAGTTAATTCATCTAATATATTCTTAATGTTATCAAAACTGTCGGAAGTAACATTAGCTAGCATTTCAATTGCTAATTTTCAAGACAAAGGTGCATTAGCTAACCTTTCATTGACTAATTCCCAAAATGGCTTTGATTCAAGTAAGACAAATTCGGATTGATAATCATAAAAACACGGAGAATCATTATATCTACAATTATTATTCCAATTATAAGCATAAGAATTAACCCAATTAGAACCATATTGATCAAAATAAGGGTTAAAATGCTCAAATTCGTCATAATAATCTATATTTTGTACTTGTCTACATGTATGAGTAGTATGATATCCTCCATACAAGTCACAAATCACATGATTAGAATTGAAAGCATTAACATTCCTCTTTCGTTCGATCATATTTGTAATGATGTCCAATTGAAATTTTAATATTATAAAATCAAATTTAACCTTTAAGGTTCTTCAGCCATTTTTGAAAGACAAACCTTCGGACATTCTTTGATTACCTCCATAGTTGTAGTTTTGAAAATCACAGTCTATTGCCGAATTTCTTTCTCTCAAGCTTGTATCCACTTTCATTTACCATCCTCCTTAGAATCTAAAAACACTTTCAAGCAATTTCAAAAGCAAGATTAGTCAAGAAGAATAGCGTAAAAGATATAAACCAAAAACAAGACTCTAAACACAAAACAAAAACTCAACAAGACACTAAATATAACAAATAAGACACTTGAAACAACAAAAACAAGAAAAGCAAGTAAAAATGTGTAAACTAATAAAGTTGTTTTTAGCACCAATGTTGAACCAAATCTTCCCAAATAACGGAGCCAAAAACTTGATGAGATTCTACCATACATCAAATTTTAATAAAACCTAAATACCCCATTTTTTGCAAGTATGCAGATCGTTTATCAAGTACAGGGATGTTAGGTGTCGATCCCACATGGCAGATTATAAATTGTCAATGGTTTTTGAATTCCTTTATTATTTAGATGATCACAAATGCAAGAAATTAAATCTACACTACAAACATGAAATAAATGTAGTAAAAATAATAATAATAATCTTTTAGGATTATGGAATTCCTCACTATTTTTACAAGTGAAATTATTGGTTAACTAAATGTTATTATTTTGACTAGTTATGACATAATTTTCTAATGTATGTGAAATCTACTCTTGTAGTGAAATCAACTATACTTGTAACTAAGCCATAGTTACTCTCGTGATTATGAAATTAATTACAAGTTTATTTCTTCTATGAAATTACATGGAACAAGCCACTAAAGCCACAACCATGCTCATCTACTTTCATGAGTGAACTCTCTAGGTTTAACACTTCTTTAAATTAGTGTCAAATCCTAATTCTTATTGCAAACTTAACTCTTAAAATTATCATAATTAATGCCCAGTTAATCATGATTAGAAAAGTAAAAGTGCTAAATAATTTGTTCAAAATAATATCATCAAATAACCAATTAAACATCACTAATAAGAAATAGAAAGTTATCCTTAACTAGTATAAACTTTAGCTAAACATGAAAACAAACATCAAGCTTGTATTATAGCCAAACATAAGAATTAATGCAAGAAACAAAGTGGTAGGATAGAAGTCACTTTTGTCACATGAGTTCCAAGCATCTTCATCTTCATCCTCTATCTCATCCAAGTTTGGCTAGTATAAGAATAGATGGAAACTATACTACTCTATACCAAACTAGTGAATTAAGAATAACTAGTGAAAAATACATTTTTAGTAGTGTCTCTAGCTTTCCAAAGTTATGAAAATATGTTATCAAACCTCCTATTTATAGAGGAATTCAATCTCTAAATGAGTTGGTAAAGTTGATGTAAAATACTTCTTAATATTCCGAAAATATTCTTCTACAAGTCTCCATGCTCTTCTTTATAGTTGTAGCCGAAATTCTTGTTTGAAATAAGCTGAAAAAACTGTGAGAATGCAGAACAAATTGCTGTGCAAGTTGCACACACATTTACAAAATATGCAGCCTTAAGGTCACTTATTGAGGGTGTG